AGCGGGGGAGATTCTCGTGTTATGGCGGTGAAGGTCGGTGGCGGTAATTCCGCTGTCCCCCAGCAGTGGAAGTGCATTGCTTCCGGCCCTTTCTCTGGCTGGGTGACGCTCTCCTGGTAACAGCCCCTCGTTGCCTTTCCCAAGCACAGGCTCCGTTCTGACACGGCTGTAACGATGCAGGTAGCTCTCACACCGGCTCGGTGCAGGTCTTTAATTGTAACATCACTTCCTCTGACGTAACTGTGTTTTTTGAGGCCACTCCTGATCCGAAAGCAACACCAGCAATGCTGAAACACGGACTGATTTTTAGAGCTGCGACTACAGAAGATGGGCCCCTGCACCGGAGCTTCGGCTACGGCAGTAGCAAAGCACCGCGCAACCGCCTTGCCGCTCCTTCTCTGGTTCCTCAAACGGAAAAATTCAGTTACATTAATGCACTGGATATATTTTCCTGTTCATTTGCTACTAAAATATTATGATCACTTAACACATGATTATACCCTGTCGGTATTCATTTTCTATTAAGACCCCAGCAAAAAAATCCATCAGAAGAGGCTGTTTCGGCTGGGGGGTTTGGCCGAGCCGCTGCCGCACCCCAGCCCCGTGGCGCCTCGGGCAGCTCAGGGTGGGAGCCACCCCTCAAAGTGTGGCAAACGGCTCAGAACCGCACTTCTTCCCCAAAAGAACCTGTCATTGCAGGTGGGACGCTGCTGCAGAGAGAGGGGCTGCATTTGGGCAGCTGTGCCCATCAGGCGTTCCCCAGCTCCGTCCCCACCACGGCACGCGCGGGAGGAAGACCCCGGCGAAATACATTCGCCCTTTTGAAAGGCAGCCGTGCTCACACTTCAACTAAGGAGCTTTTTCTTATTTTAAAGCCCTTTTTTATCATGTAAAAGGAACAAAGGACTTTTTTCTTTACCCTAAAATCCAGCCAAATTTAGAGGAGTCTTTCATTATGATGGACCGGCAAGGGAAGTATGCAAAGAATTTTTACTGATTGACTTAAGGTCACTAGCCAAGAGAGGGTATCTCCAGCTTCGGTTTAAGATATTGTTTCGATCCACTAGGCCTGGAAGGGAAGGTCAAACTATATTTTATAGCCCCTCATAAGGGCTCTCTTTCTCACAGCCACCAAGTCTCCTTATTACAAACATAATTATTACTTAGGAAAAAAATGCAATTATTTATGCATACGCAACCAGCCAACAACGCATGTCACACTCCTGCGGGGAAGTAGCCGGCAGTTTTTATCCGTACTTGGGAAGTTGGACCACCCCTCTGACCACTACATATAGCAGATCAGTAATGTTTCCTCTCGTCAGAAGGAACCAGCTACTACGTAATTAAATTTACACTAAAATCTGTTCTTAAAGCAGGACTGACATCTCTGAACAACTGTGCCCAACAAGCCTGTCATATAAAGTCACAGATACTTTACGCTTATTTTCGGACAAAGTATTTGTGCGTCTCAGTCCTTTAAGAATGAATTTATTTCCCGCTGAAAACCAGAAGCTTGTCATAATTTTTTTTTTTTTAAGTGCCACGTCCCTGTATGGTAAGAGGAGAGATGCTGTCCCCCAGACCCCCAAGGGACCCTCACTCGTCACGCGTTACCCTCTCCTCCGCTCTCGATGGTTGCCAGCGTGACTCACCAACCTGCTATTCCTTCCCTGACACTCCCAGGCTAAACCGACCCGGAATATTTCTCGCTGACAACAGTGATACTATTGCACAAAAGGCTTAGCTAAGGAGCAGCGTCAGTTGCCCAAGTGCATTCCTCGCAATTAAAATTTCAGAATAGAGAACTCCGATTCAGATGCCACACCGACCTCACCCGGCTCCTCAACCCACGCACACCGTTGCTTCCCTAATGGTATAAATAATTCCCCTTCAGACTCAAATAGCAATAGCCTGAGGGTTTCCTCACAGCTGCCTTTGAACGTACAGCCTGAAACTCAGTGGCATGGCTCCTATATTCCCACAGCGGCGCGGCCACGCAGGACGTACATCGCTTGAAGAGCGGGAGCTGGGAATGGCTGTGGGTAAGCAAGCAGAGCTGGCGGCAGGACCGGCGCGCGGCATCCTTACCAGGACTGTGTGCATCCCTGTGTAGAGCCTGCTGAGACACACCAGCGTCGAGAACACAAATGCTGCTATCAGGCCCACTTCGAATGGGTACTGTGAAAAGGGGAAAAAAAAAAATACGCCCATTACACCGTTATCCACTTTAACTTCAGTATACCTCTGAAATAAAACATCCAAGCAGCTGGACTGACATAAGGATCTCGCGTTGGGCAGTGGCTCCTGAGCTGTACTTTCCCAAAGGGATTATCAACGTGACCCGAGACGAGACTTCACATCGGCCAGCATGCAATCCTGCGGGAAGGTCGTTTCGTTATCTGCAGCATATTCGTTATCAGCTCGCTTTTGCGAAAGTCTAGTCTTAGCATGGGAAAACCTGGGAAATAGATGGTATCCGCACAGTTTTTGCTCACAACATCCACCTGCAAAACCCACGTTAGTGCTAAAGACCCCAAGGGAAAAAGGCACAGCGCGTCGTATGAGCGATGCCCGAGGCTTAACCGCAGCCCCAGATGGCCAGAGGGGAACGCGATAGCTGCGGAGCCGGACCACAGGCGTGATCAATAGTCCTCCAGCAGCGGGCTGGCAGGGGAAAACCAACGTCTGGGCTGAAAGTGCAGCCCAGCTGTTAAAGCAGTCAGGACCACTCTTCCCTGTGACACTTCAGGTTTAATCATCTTCTTACAAAGCTGGGTTTGCTTAATTCCCTGAGTTGCCTATGAACGTGGAGAGAAGTGTTGAAACAAATGAACATTTTACAAGGAAACCCCCCCTTGCACATTTGGTAAAGAATAAGCTTAACGTATTGCCCTTAAGCCACTCATTCAAACCCTGAAACAGAGTGGGCTGGTGGGCTCCTTTCAGTCTGTAAAGGACATTTTGTCTGAAAAAATAAACCAACTCGAAATATAAATAAATGAAATCAATTCACCTGATTTGACACAAAGTCTCCATCCCCTGCCGAGAGGCTGATGACTGACCAGGGTGGCCACAGGTCAGTGCAAAAACGCTTCTGTGGAAATTTTAAGCATAACAACCTCCTTCTGCCCCTTTGCCCTGGCGTACTCTAGCCCCCAAAATGGAGAGCTCAGACCTGGCTGCAGATGTCACTCCCAGTTCACAAAATGCTATTTTTTTCCTCGCTTCTCTGAGCCTTTGGAGGATTTACACCCACTTTACTCCCCCCTCAGCAGGCAGCCTGGGATCCAGCCCAGATCAGTAATTGATGACTAGGGCAGCTTTAGAAGATAGCAGTATAATGTACTGGTAGATTTTTCCTTCTTAATAGAGGCAATTAAATCATTTAATTATTTTACAGCAGCTTTATTGTTTCATGGCAGTTTCCAAGAACTATGAGACAGCCTGTGAAGAGCTCCGTGTCCCACTGGTAGCTTATCAATCGAGGAGGAGGAGAAAGTGCTGCCGCCCGGGTCTTTTTGGCGGGGCTGACAAATATCCCACCTTACGGCTCCTCCTCCCCATCCCCATCCCTATCCCAGTGCCAAGCCCCGCCGACCAGTTACCAAACCATTACCGGGAGCAGGAGGCTGGCAGCGCAGATTTGGGCACCACCGACCTGCCCGCTCATCCCTGTGCTGTGGGCAGGGGCAAAGCCCGCTGCTTCATGGCTGGGACCTAATGAGTCTGGAAGTCCAATTAATTCAGAGATCTCCGTTTCTATGAGTTACGGCCGCAGGACACAGCACCTTTCATCAAACGCGTGGCCCCTTTTGTCCCTGCACACGGGCTGGCACCACAGGGAGGACACCTGGGGACGCCACGACAGCGAGACCCCCCCCGGCCGTACGGCGAGCCCTCGTGGTTACGTGGGTTTGTCTCTGAAATACACTTAATGGGGCTGAGAAACACACTTAAATATGGTGCAGCCAGGAAGTTGTTATTGCTAGAGTACAGGAAACATATGTTTGGAGTCATAAAATAAAATGAAAATAATCCTCATGGAGAAATGAGTTTCTGGGAAATAAACCTTTTGGAAAGATAAAAGACTGAAGGTTTGGGGAAAATAACGATGAGATCTCCCCAAGCAGCCTCCAGCTCTAGCGCAGTGAATCTGCTGTTGCTTCTCTGACAAACAGGCTCTCAAATCGTGTTGTGTGCTGCTAGTCCAGCACAGGTTAGAGCCAGGGGATTTCCAAGGAAACTTCTCCTGCATCACACAAAAACCAGGTGACACAGAGCTCCTGCGGTTTCCCCAGAAGCCGGCATTTCTCGACGTGCGGCATTGGCTTGGCGGGCACGGGGCAAGCACAAAACACTGACGCGGGGCATCTTCTGCAGCGGCACCACGGCTCCCTCCGCAGCCGCCCCGCATGCGAAAACACAGCGACCCACCAAACCACAGCAGGGCAGCACAGCCCGCCCGTGGCTCTGAGTGGGGTTCGTGCTACAGGAAGGAGATTTCTGCCAAATTTCTTACTGTGTCTATTATCACAGGGAAAAGTACCCATCTGTGAAAATAAATACAGAGCTCCTCTGGAAGTGGCAACAGCTCTGAATTTGCTAGTTTTCTGTAGCTTGCTGGAAGCAGATGCATGCTTTTTCCTTTTCGTTTTTTCTTTTTGTACCCCCTACCTTGTATTGATTCACGGTTGCAGTGAGAAAGGAGAAGGAGATGGCGGTAGCCGCCATGGCATGGGTGGAAGGCATCCCGTACTCTGCATCCGTCCTCAGTTCCAGCTTGACGACAGGCGGCGAGAGGGGCCGAGGCCACTTCAGGATGTCCTTGGAGACCTGGCCTATGTACATCACTATCTGGGGAGAGGCAAGGCCACAGGGCTGTCAGCACAGGCAATCCCCACTCAGCCCACCCAAGAACCACCTCTATTTCTGCGCTTTTTCCTGCAAAATCCACCACCCCAAGTGCAGAATTTATCCCCTGAATTATTAAAGGGTTTTCCATTATCCCAGTCAGCGAAGGAAGCGATGGTTTTACTGCACCGTGTTGTAACCTGATCAGAAGTGGGACCAAAAGGAGGGTTCGCTGACGAGATGCATCAGTACAGGATGGTGTGAGACGGACAGCTGGCTCCCACCCCACGTTAGAGAAGTTTAAGTTCCTCCCAATTCCTTACAACCCTTCTCCTGCAAAGCAAACAGCTATGAGAGATATTTTTCTGAAATCACCGCCTTGCCCAGCCGCGTCCCTCCCAGCTCCCCGCAGCAGCTCTCCGGCACCTGCACCCAGCGCACAAGGTGCTGCAGGAGCCCCGCAGGGACACGCCACCCGTGGGGTTGCTAAATAATGACCTTGGCATCCTCGGGGAGGCAGCAGAGGGAAAACTGGACCAGCAACATAAAGTACCAGTTCTCCTGCCTAACTCCCCGACAACAGAGGGCTTTCGGCACACCCGAGATTTAAGCAAGGGCTCCATTCGTTAGCTACCGAGCACTGCAATGAAGTGATTTTGGGGGGGAATATTGCATTCTCAGGTCACCGCAAGCAGACGAAATGGGAAGCAGAGACAAGAGGCAAAGCTGGCCAGCATCCCGTCCAGCAGCACCCAGGGCACCCGTCGTGCTGATATCCTCTGCTCCTCAGCACCCTCTTCCCAAAGGCAATGGGCTCTCAGCATCCACAGTGAGAAGGATGTGAACAAAACCTACCAGGCTATCCCTGGAGGATGTATTTCCTTTCTATCGTCACCCTCTTCCCTTGGGACAGTGCAGCCAGACATATGCAAAGCAAGCTCTACGAAACAAAGGAAACCTTTTTTCTTTTTTTTTTTTTTTTTTTTTACAAAAATCAGGTTAACTGACATCTGCCCCGAAAAACCAGTTGCTGTGCGCGCAAAACTCAGTTGCTGTGCGAGACGGCTCGCTGTTCTGCTTCTCACGCTTCCACTAGCAAAGGAGGGGTCTTAAAATAACATCCTTCCCATGCTGGTGTTAGCCATATGCCAGAACAGCAACACGATCATCCGCCGCCACATTTGTCACCAGCCACACTGCGTCCCTCCCTCTCCCACCAGCCATTTAAAAAATGGCTTCACATTAAAAGACAGACATCAGGATTCAGAATTCACAAATCAGGACCAGGAAAAAGCCAAAAAGTCACATTCCTTCACTGCCCTCTCTACAGCAAGCACATGCTTCAAGGAGTGCTAGGTTTACAGCCAGCACCAGCGCCTGGAAAAGGGACCGCTGGTGCCTTTGCATCCTTCATCCCTCATCACATGAATCACGTTGCCGCCTTATTAGCGGCAGCGCCTGCGGCACGGCTGGCTGCTCCCACTTCACCCGGCTACACGGGGCAGAGGGCAGGCAGCAGACACCCTGCCCCGACTGTTCACAGCCGACAAAGGCTCAGGGAACAACTGTCTTAAAGAAACCACTGCGTGGGTTTCTGTGGTTAATGCCACCAGTTTCCAAATGGATGCAGGCACATCTATTGGAAGTTAATTAAATTCCAGGGTTGAAAGCAAAATGACTCTCTCTGACAGAACATAAAACATTGAGGCTACCATTTGTGATACCATCTGAGAGGCAAGGTAGGACGAGCCAGTTTATCAGCAGTCCTCTATAATAATGACTTCCACTTGGAAGAGTATTATTAGCACTAGTACGTAAGAGTATTACAGAAAGGGAAATGAGTCATCTTTGAAATGAAGGCTATGCTAGGACTTCTGATGGTGAAAATCAGGCTGAATGCTGGAGGTGGTACGGGTAAGCAAAAATACCAGGCAGCCTCACAACACCTTCCTTCCTGACCCTTCTATTTTTAAAAAACCGATTGTATAGACACATACAGTAATGAGAGGTGAGACGACCTCCATGAAATATGAAGAGGAGCCCAGAATACGTTCACACTAAGCCCCGATCACGTTCAGACTAAGCCCTGATCTCTGAAGCAGCAGACCTTTGCCTTTAGCTTAGCTGGGTGCTGTGCACGTGGTTTTACACACGAGGTCCTGGATTATTTGGCGAAGCGGCAGTTGTGGCTGCAGTAAAACACCCCCCGCCAGCAGAACTGGCAGGCTTCCCCGAGAAGGCGAAAGATGACAAGCGCGCCACTGATAAAAGCCACCCAGATCAAACACCCAAAGGTGTTGCTCTGGTTCGCCCGCCTCCCCACGTCCTCGCCGCAAGCGGCTGGGGGAGCAGAGGACTGCTCGGGCACCGCGCGGGCTCTGGGGCTCACAGCACGGCAAAGCGAGCAGCCCAGAGCTCCTGCCAGACCTGCCCGTGGTGGGCAGAGGGGTCCCCTCCCCAGGGAGACGGCCCTGCGGCACGGAGCGGGGCAGGCAGAGCACCAGCTGGGAGCCGCACGTCCCTCCCCAGCCCAGAGCATCAGCCAGTCCCGCTGGGGACCGTCACACAGCTGGCGACTGAGGGCAGTGCCCCTGCGAGCGTAACAGGCACAGACACCCAGAGCTCAGCCACAACCAGGAAAAAAATACAGGTAGGAAGCCACCGCAGATGCGGTCGCTAGGTGACAAGTGTTGTGCAGAAACACACTTACAGCATCATATTTAATTGCAGGATATATCTGAATTGCACTCTACCACAGCTCTCATCTTCCGAGGATGGTAGGTATCTGCCTTGGTTAAGTGGCATATTCGCTCTTAGACCACATTTCATTATTTCCTGACCTTATTTCTCTGTAATTTGGGATTTACTCGCTAATAGTCCCGGGAAAGAAAGCAAGCAGCCTGAATGTTTTGGCCTCTTAACAGCTTTTTTTAACCTAGCATGAGAAAAATCTCTGTAATAAACACTGCGAACCATAAGCACGGGAAAGGAGACAGGAGACGGAGAGACAAACATGGGGGAACAGGCTAAGCCTCACCTACGCTTGGCTTGAATTACCTATTTGCGTGACGCCAAAAATCTCTGATGGCCCTGGAAAGAAATTTAGCATGGGCAAAAATTATCCCAAGTGCGGGCCAGCAGGTAGCCTGGGATTGCTCAGGTCGCAAAGCCAAGATCACAGCACTGGGTGATTTTGCTGGGATTTCCAGCTTACCCTAGGTAAGCCGAACAGCACGCTCACGATGGCTTCAGACAAACAGCAGCTCCCTGGCTGCGGGCTGCACAGCTCCCGCGTGCCTCGCTGAGACCCAAATCGGACGCTTCATTTTCTGGCTGAGCCCGTGAGCTGCATCCGCAGGCAGAGGAGCGCCCGGGGCGAGGCGAGGCAGGCTTTTCCTCCCAAGGGCTCCTGCCCTGCGCTGCAAGGGAATACGCGACCCGTGTCTTGCTGCGCTCCGCAGTGAAGCACTAAGCAGTCTAGGCTACGGATCCACGCTGGAAATCTAGGGTACGGCTATAACCTGACCGCTCAGAGCTGAACCAGCCCCTACCGTTTCTGCATTGCCAGGTGCTACCACATCTGCCCGGCACGCTGCGGTCGTGCTGGGAGCGCGATGCGGCACAGGCTGCGCCGAAGCTGCCATCCTTCCCGGGGGTCCCGTGTTTATAACCCCGCAGGCTGAACACGTGGGCCCAGGCAGCAACCCTGGCACACAAGGGCGCTTTTCTAACCCCCAGCCCACACCACCATTATTCAGTTTGGGATTTTCTGAATTTCCAGTGTTATGCAGATGACTCTGAAGCCTTCAGAACTAAATCCTTACAACAAAGGAAGGAGGATTTCAAAATTACTTGGGTAAAGACGTCCTACTTGTTGTACACACTCGTTCCGCTCTCAAAGAGTTTTTCTGTACTGATGTAAGCAACTTAAAACCAAGACTCTCCTCAAACCCCAGTGCCTACCAGTACTGCTGGGGCAGCCTGGGCTGCGTGAGGGGAACAGCAGTCCCCTGCAGCCACAGCATCAGGCGAAGGAAAGGCAAAGCTTTATTGCTGCTACGGGTCAACAGCATTACCTTTACTACATGAGCGCAATTAGCGGTTGCTATAGCAGCACAATAGCCTTTTTCTCAGAGTTTCCTCTGACTTTGCTCAGAGTCATATATATGGTCCGTCTCCAGAAACACATCCTCACCTGGGACTTTGCGCTGGGGTAAACAAGATAGATTTATCTTTGTGTTTTAACAGATCTTGCTTTAGCGAACAATCACAAATCAAACTCAAAGCACTGGCATCCACATAGGTCCAGGTGTTGACGCATTTGTCCCCACCTCTGGGTGAGGGGCTGTTCCCCTCCCTGTGGCTCCTTGACATCTGCATAACTCTGGTATTGCTTCGTTAATTTAAGGAGGGGGTTTGCTCACCTGCGGGTGCTCCCTGGCATTTTCAATGGTTTCCCGCTCACTACTCTTGCAATGGCTGTGGGCGGCACTTCTGCGGCAGGAAGCAAGAGAGCTGCACGTAGGTCTACCACCGCAGCGCAAGCACGAAGGCACGCAGACAAACACGGCCGCGCCAGCTCCGCGAGCAGAGGCACGGGCCCGGTGCCTCAGGGCGCGATTTCCCTTTTGGAACACTCACACGGCAGCAGACCCCGAACCTGGCAGGTTTTAGGGAACAGGCCCAGGTGCAGGCGTGCTGCACGTGGCACAGCCTCCTCGTGCGCCGGGCATCTCTCCTCTGCCACGACCTCTGCACGGGGACGGACACACCTGGCCGTCCCACAGGCCTGCGAAGGGCAGGAGGAGCAATTCTTTTTGCAGTCCGTAATAGTTCAACTAACAAAGGTGAACCAGAACGTGTTTATTTTCAAGTTCTGATTTTGCAGCTCTCCCATCTGCACCACTGATCTATCAAAAGGACAAGATGAAATTCTAGAGAAGATGTGGGGTCAAATAACATCGGCGACTTCTTCCCCAAGACTCGCGCTGTGGCAGCCTGAC